ACCCATCCTCTTGCCTGTGCAGAAGGACATCGAGAAAGGCAAGTTCGATATCTGCCTCGGTCTCTGCAGTGAACTTTAGCGAGGGGTGCGCACTGTTGAACTTTTGGACAAGCTCCTCGGTATCGATGGTACCATCCGTCAGGCAGAAGATATCGTCCACGTACCGACGGTAGAAGACGAGGCCATTAATGGTCTCTTGCAAGCTTGTTTTCTCGACTTTGCACCCCTATCCTATCCAGCAGTACTACTCCTGAACCTTTATCCGGTCTAGTAAGCACAATGTTTTTGTTTTTACGAAGCTCCCTAAGGCTATCGACGGATGGACTGACGGATGGTACCATCGATACCGAGGAGCTTGTCCAAAAGTTCAACAGTGCGCACCCCTCGCTAAAGTTCACTGCAGAGACCGAGGCAGATATCGAACTTGCCTTTCTCGATGTCCTTCTGCACAGGCAAGAGGATGGGTCTATCCAGCGCAGGGTGTTCCGAAAGAAAACCTGGACGGGACAATACGTTAATTTCCACAGTTTTGTCCCCCTAAACGTCAAACGGAATTTAGTCCAGGGATTGGCGGCTAGAGTGAGACGCATCTGCTCACCTGAAGCTATTGAAGAAGAACTTCAACAGCTGCGGAACACACTTCGGGAGAACGGATACCCAGATAGATTCATCCTCCGAAATATTGGGGAACGCGTTGAAAAGCCCACTGTTGAGACTGCGGAAAAGAAAGATGTATTCATAAGATTGCCTTTTAGAGGAGACGCAGAGAGCGAACTAGTCCGACGGCGCTTAACTACAGCTATCACGAGGGCATTCCCTGCGGCGAATTTACGCGTATGCTTCACAAACTCTCCCCTCCTACGTTTGGGAGGTAAAGACAGACTACCGTTGGAGGCCACATCAATGTGCATTTATTCATTCACTTGCTCCTGTGGAGCAGGATACATCGGCCGCACAACGAGACGCCTGGTAAAGAGAGTACGTGAACATATGCCCGCCAGGCTAGACAGAGGTGAGACCCGGTCGATTTCGAGTTCTATTCTCGCGCATTTAATCGATACGAATCACCGAGTCGATGCCAAGAAAGCATTTCAGGTTGTCTACCGGACACCAACATGCTTCTCTAAAGGCCTACGCCAACGGATACTAGCAACGGCAGAGGCAGTAGCTATACGGTTAGTGAATCCGGTGTTATGCTGTCAGAAAACTCTGACACAAGCGCTTTCGCTGCCGTGGCCAACGCCAACGCCAACCCCAAGTGCTGAAGCCATGCCGCCTCAAATCCCTAATCACGATGATGGGTACTCCGTGTACTCAACCCCAGATCATTACTCAAAGACTCTCTTACCCCCCTCCCCTAGCCCTGACGACTAACACCCGCCGACCTTCTCATGCGGGCGGCGTGGGGATGATGAGTGTTAGTGACTTAATAGCCCTTGAGGCATCTATAAACACTGTTGATTTTGTACATTTTCATTCGTTCATGTAATTGTATTGGCCTGAGGAAGAATTGCCGAAAACGTGCGTTCGCCAACTTGACTTTTCAATTTTAACATGGGAATATTTGCGGAACTTAAACCCGATATTATCTTACAGGGCCTATGGTCGAACTTCATGATGAATGACCGAAAATTCACCTAAAATTCGTTTTTAATAATTTTTTTGTCAAATACAAGTATTAAGACGGAAAAACCTACTGAAGCATAACAAACGCTTCAGTTTTCAGTCATATGAAAGGCGACTGAAGAAAGGGTGTGCTTGTTGGAAATTTAGGTTATCAGGCGAGTTGGACTTTGCAGCACGGCCTTATGACACAAGCAGGATGAAATTTCAATATTTGAAGAAGAAGAAGAATCGAGCACCGGAACAATTCGTTTATTATCCTGGAACTCGAAATTTCGCCTTCATTCGTGAAACATTCGGGCGCGATGCGCTTCGGACAGCTCGCAGCTGGGAGTTATTCTCTACACGAGAGGCAGCAACATACGAGCAGCTACGTTTTCTGCACCGATGTCTCGAAGACGAACTAACCCCACGATGCCTGAGATATAAAGCTCCAGTTAATACGGCCATGGGAAGAGAAGTTGTGAGGCGGTTTGTCAAACAGATGACAAGAGTTCTGATCGACGACTGTCACCGGCGTTTGCAGAAGTACAAGGCTGAGATCGAGGAGAACAGAAGGCAGTGTGTCCACACTCTCGGCGATTCTATCGCCGCAGATCTTGGGAAGACGATCTCTGCTCTGGCACACCACAGGCAAGCCAAGAAGAGAGAAGTTTTGGAACGGAAACTGACTAAGCTAAAACCACCAGGCACAGAAAGCTCAAACTTGGTCCACAACCTCTCGTCTAAGCAGCTAACAGAGCAGCAACTACGAGTGTTGCAGCATGAAACGTGTTTCAACACTGCAGATGCCGATCCTGTCGACTTCATTGCAGCCCTGGAAGCCATGCTTGTGAGAAGTGAAACATCCGACGACATGAAACACTCCGTCCGACAGCGTGTTACCTCTTTGCTGATGACACACAGACCAACCAAATGTATTTCACAGAGTGAGTCAAAGGCTATGAGAGAACTGAGGAGGGACGACAGCATTATCATTCTACCTGCTGACAAGGGACGATCAACCGTCGTGATGAACAGAGAAGACTATAATGAAAAAGCTAAAGCCCTTCTTGATGACAGAGAATTTTACAGACCAGCACAGAAGTCACAAGCCAAAGCAGTGGCAGATCGGCTGAGTAAACTGCTTAGAGAATACCGACATAAAAATGTGATCACGGAGAATGAATGGCACCAAATGAGGGCAACTGACACCGCTCTAGCCCGATTCTATGGTCTGCCAAAAAATCCATAAAGCAGATGTCCCACTTCGGCCAATCGTTGCCCTCAAAGGCAGTCCCACCTACAACTTGGCAAAGTGGATGTACTCAAAACTGAATTTCCTCCAAGGCAATTCGACTACCTCAGTTCGATCAGCCTCTCAATTCCTCATAGACCTCCGAGGTCGGAGAATTCAATCAGACGAAATCATGGTCTCCTTCGATGTGACGTCGTTGTTCACATCTATCCCACCAAACGTGGCCCGCGAAGTCTTGCGCAAGAGACTTGAAGAGGCGTACGATGAGACTCAGAATGCCCTCAAAATTGAACACCTCATGAGGCTGTTTGAATTCTGCCAACAAACTTTCTTCACTTTTGCGGGAGAGACCTATGAACAAATCAAGGGAACCCCTATGGACTCACCGGTCTCCGGTTTGGTGGCAGAACTGGTCCTACAGGAGTTGGAAAAGATTGCCTTCCTCCAACATGAACCGGTGTTTTGGCGACGTTACGTTGACGACACGTTCGTCATCGTAAAGAAGGACATGCGGCAACATTTTCACAGCCTGCTCAACGCAGTCTTCCCGGATATAAAATTCACGAGAAGAAGAACAGGAGCAGCAGTTGCCCTTCCTGGATGTGCTCGTCAGACGAAACCTTAACGGTGAACTTGAAACGACGGTTTATAGGAAGGCAACGAACACCACACAGCTTCTCAGTTTTCACAGCAACCATCCGGTGGCTCACAAACGAAGCTGTGTGAAGACGCTCTTCAAACGGATCCAAACTCATTGCAGCAAACTGGAAGATAGAGCGCGTGAGGCCCGTTATCTCCGCGACCAGTTTGTGCAAAAATGGCTATCCGAGGGCATTCATAAGTCGCTGCCTACGCGGTCGCCACCAGAGAACTCAAACATCAACGCCACCGACGATATGGCATTCTCTGCCATACATCAAGGGTGTTTCAGAAGCGACCGAGCGCATTGCTGCGGAGCTAGGGGTTGGAATCGCACACCGCCCCAAAGCCACCATGCGCAACAGGGTCATGAAGATCAAAGATCGGTTAAAACCTGAAGAGCAGTCTGGAGTAGTGTATCGCATTCCGTGTCAAAATTGTCCTTGTAATTACACAGGACAGACTGGACGCATGCTCGGATCGCGCATACATGAACATAAGCTGGCTGTGCGGCGAGGCGACGCATTGTCACAAGTGGCCGCCCACACCTACGAAATGGGTCACGAGTTTGACTTCGCTGCCACCAAAATAGTCGCCCACGCCGGAAACAAAACAGGCCGAGAATTGATTGAAGCCTGGGCCTCGGATGAGAACTCGGTCAATCGATTTATCGATCTGGCGCCGGCGTACAGAGCCCTTCGTAGTCACCTCCAGTCGTTCGACGTCGGTCGATGATTGGGTCTACGTGCCTTATAACTGCCGCTTGTCCTGTTTCTGCCACTACCTCTGACGATGGACTCCTGTACGAGTCTGAAAGCTCAGGATAATAAACGAATTGTTCCGGTGCTCGATTCTTCTTCTTCTTCAAATATGTATACACCTGGAACTCGAAATTTCGCCTTCATTCGTGAAATTTCAATGTAAGGTCGGAAAAAGAATGGTCGGCCGGAAATTGAACAATTGAACATAAGTCAAGGTTTAAGAATGCGTTGCCTATCAGTAGGTGTATTCTTCCTTTGAAATTATAGAGATAGGGTTTGTACAGCCAGTCAGTTATCTTCAATAAACACGCCTGAGTATCATACACCGGTCATAGCCTTCGATTAGACTTTCATAAAGGAACCAGAAATAGGTCAGAACTTTTAACTGGCCCAGGAATTTGAAATTGGGCAAATTCTTCGGCCTTAATGTCAAATCTTTAGGGTTACTTTTGCCCTGACAACCATGAATTACATTCCAAATATTGTATTGTGAAGTGAAAAAGTTTTCGTAAGGACAGTTTCGGGCAAAACCACGTCTCTCTATTTCAGCGTCTACTTGAAAAAAATCTCGACAGATACTACTCACTTTCGATGTTTTGTAAAAACTTATGATCAAGCGTGCTATGTAAGCATGGATAGTGAGCACTTATCAATGTCCAAAAGTATTCGAAATATACGTTGACTTTAAACAGCGTTGCCCTTGATCGATAAAAATTTTTTTCATGCGGGAACATAAGCAACCCACGCGAAGTAGCCGTGAACTGCGAATAGCAAAATGAGAATTGCTAATCATGTTGTGCAGAAATAGATGAAGGTTTTCACGACAGTTCCTCCAGTCCTTTTTCCCGACGGCATTTTAGCTATTGGTCTACCTTAGTAAGGGGGGAGGGGGAGGGCTCACCGATCGTTTCTACGGAACTCACTCTTTCCGTTGTGCCTTACGGGCTCTCCCTCGAGCCCAACCAGCAGCCGCACAGCGGCGTATGATATAGGCAGTATGGTATGACTGGCTGACGACGACTAATAAGCCAGAAATGGCCATTCCAGTCTCCCTTGTCTTTGTCGGTAATACCATACTGCCTATCGGTCTACCTATTTAAATGCCATTTGGTATACTATTTATAGATTGTAATAGAACTGCTACTTAAATATATGGAGTAGCAAGACAAACTAAAGTGTGCATGTACGAAGTCCTCGACCTTTCCTTGTTTCATCAAAAAAGCAAAAACGATGACAAATGATAAGATAGTCAGAAGCTATCGGAATCGTTTAGGGATATCACAGGTGAATTTTGAAAATCTCGGGCAAGTCCGAATGAGTTTTTTAATGCAGGAGAAAACATGGAAAATTTATCAGCGATTCTACAACAAGGTACTACATCTTATCAAAACACAGGCACGCGAAGTAATACACCGCGATGTATTGAATCTGCTTCTATCCTCATGGCTAAGTTCCTCTTTACTAGTCTGCAGGTTGGTACTAAGTGGCTGGCCACATCAAGGGCACTGTGCGTCACCATTCGAAATAAAAGAACGTAAAAATGATCACGAAATTTGGCTTCACAGTCAACGAAATGCCATTTTACCCCAGATGAATGACACGATCGCGATTCGTCATTCATGTTCCGGGGTGTACATTTAATAGCTTGCGTTGAACAGACCCTTATAAATGTTACTACTGAGCCTAATTCAATAGCTAACGAGGGAATTGCGACTTGGCCTTATCTCGCAAATGAACTGGTTCATATTTTTGCTGCAGTAAACTTGTTGAAGGAAAGAACATATAAGAAGAGTTTTGTAAGAAGAAGGGGTCTCGACCACTGAAACAAGGACTTTATTCGCCAGGCGTTGTGGATGAAATCTCGAAGCCTCCGTTCGAGACAGCAGTAAATAGAGATGGCAGACGCCCAGGGGTGCGGTTCTCCAAGGATCTAGCTGCTACGTCGTCGCATATAAAAATTATAAACTACCGCTATCCTCGGGGATGCCCGTACTAGGCGCAATAAATGTTGAACACCACACCTGAATCATTGACTTCAGGAACTACATCGCCAGCGTTGGGGATTAGCATTAATGATTCGACAGACCGGCTTGTCAATACTGTCACGGAAGATATTATGCACAACTAGTTCCCCGCTTGACAAATAACTCAGCCTAGGCAGTCTAGTGAGCCGCAACCTGGGAGTTAACATCATTCCTCATCACTGTTTGCACGTGTGCAGTCGCCCGCAGCCGGGGTAATCTCCCAGTTTGTCTGGCGTAGTTACTCTGCCCACAACTGTACCAGATCCGGCAAATGATTTCAACGGCTTCTGGCTACAGTAGCAGGCTCTTCGGGCTCATTACCTGGCGCTTAATGGTTGCCTCTGGCCGGCGCGAGATGTCGACTCGGAGGAGGTGAGAGGGTGGGTGACAGCTTCTAAGACGTACTTGACGTAATGGAACGTTCGCGAAAATTTGGGACAGTGTGGTTTGATGCCTCGCCCCGTTTCTAAATGAACCGGTTGACCAATTCGCGCGAAAAACAACCTACTCTGAATGTTTGTCGAAGGATACGCCAATCAATTTGGTCACACCGGTCTTCCGGTTCACTGCAGTGCGCCGAAACGCACCACACAAGATGCAACTGCATTGCGACTGGAAGTTCGGTTGCTACTGAGACCTAGAACTTTTTCCACATTCGCCGTTTTCCTCAGTGCCTGTGTTTTTAGGTCAGCACAATCTTTATGCCCAGGAATATGGCGTTGGCATGTCCTTTGAAAGTCAACACCTGATATTTTCCGATGACGGCGAAGGTACCATTGAGACACCGGGATCAGAACTACTGTCTGCGGTGTTCAAAAGCCGACGAATTCAACCATTTCAAGACCGTCTCAGATGAATTCGGGATTTGGTGGTCATATCGTCCTGCCTCTCGCTTGCTCACTGATTGTTCCATCAATGTGAAGTACGTTGAGACAAAACTTCGGGAGTGGAGGATTTTGACGCGTGCGAAGCAATTCTCTGTTTCGCCGTCTTTGCTCTCCAGGAATACCTCGATCGTCTCGACCGCCTAATCCTAGGAACTAGAAGTGGGCTGCAATACCAGAAGAAATCATGTTCATGTCTTTCAGGAAACCTGTCCCTTTAGGATTCTCCGGAATTCTTCTTATAAACTGATCGTGGTGTCTGTTACATAAGTCAGGAATTTGAGACGTCGAAACAACCCTTCTTCTAGTCCGTACTTTGAAGTATTAATGAGTGGTGGGATAGAGAGAGGGGAGTGGTTTCATTGTGCACGTTAGGAGGGGGGATACAGAATCCAGTCAAGTTCGCTTCTTAACCTCTCAGTATACATCGATCAGTCAGCAAAATCGCATCCGAGTTTTCAATTACTAACACCGTTACGTTGATTTCGTGTGTTAGCAGTCTTATGGAACGATTCTGATGAGCTTTTAGCGAGCTCACGCATGCTTTCGAAGAATTCTCATCGGGCCTGTACAATTATATGGGAACGAGGAGCAAACTGAACATGTGAGTGATAAGTGCAATCGATTACGGTTCGTCCTTCGTACAAACAAAACATGTGAATAGAGTGGGGGGAGGCATTTGGTGACAGTGAGGGTTAGGTTGGCCGTGTCATAAGGGGGAGGGGAGAGGGACGGGGACGCGGATACTTGCATTCAGTTAGTCGATCCTGGCCCACGGTAGACGTGGAGCGTGCGAGAGGTTCTTCTGTGCGCACAGGACCGGCATCTGTAGCCTGATGGCAGTTGCCTCTGTTGTTGCTAGTAGAAGCGGACCCGGTCGCTTAGGGTAGTTAGGTGGTACCCTGTAAATCACACGGAAGGCTTCGTTGGGATCCACACGGTACCCAAAATCAGCCATGTGTGCGAGAGTGGAGCGGCGTATGCTTTTAACTTCACCCTTCCTTAGCCATGCCGGCAGGTGTTCTCGTATTCTGGCGGTTTGTACCTCGTTCCCACACAAATGTATAGGCCCGATGATAATTTATCGAAAGCACGCGTAAGCTCGCCAAAATGCTCTTCGGAATCGCTCCATGGGAATTTCCACAACCTTAAAATAATCTTATGGAGTTTAATCGCATGGGACGCGGAACCAGCCATCACCAATTAAGCTTTTAGTAGTCCATTCTGTTCAACACGACAGTGGCACACTCCCTACCCACGGTTACGGCACTGTGGATTCTATGGAACTTCAGTTTCCTCAGTGCATTGCACTCAAGC